GCTCTCTGTCTCTCATTCTCTCTCTCTCAAATAAATAAATAAAATCTTTAAAAAAAAAAGAAAATAATAAGTCCATTCTATGAAAAATGTTTATGATTTTGTCTTATTTCTCCAACAATTTTGACGATATGCAGAATCCTGAGGACTGTGTGTTTTATGCATCCTTCCAAAAGACAATGTTTTTGTTCAACCATGAAAATACTTGTTTATGAATAGGATGCCATTAAAAGTCAAATTTCATGCTGACTAGTACACAATTTGAAATTTGAAAATTAAATATGAAATGATGCATTATTTATAGAATGATTTTTTAAAATAATTTAGGAGATCATTTTACCTGGCCATACTTTGCTGCCAAATGAAGTGGGGTCCAGTACTGATTATCTGCTATATTCAGGTCCCCGCCATGTTCCAGGAGAAGAGACACCACCTCCTTGTAGCCACTTGCACATGCCATATGCAACTGCAGTGAGGAAATATTTTGTTATATAACTTAAAGCAGTGACATCAAAACAATTTATTCAGTGGCTTGAAGAGAGCTACTAAAATATAATCTAAATAATATAAGATAAAATAAATAATATAAAATAAAATCTAAAATACCTTTAAAAAAAGAACATACATGCAGTTTTATTTATTTGATATAAGTGGACATCATCCTTCTTTAAACAAAGGCTTATGTTTTAATTATTATTTTCCTTCTGACCCTGACAATGTGCACTTTTTCATATAATTCCTATTTTCTTCTTTAGTGTAATCTGAATACTTTTAAATACAAAATGCAATAATTGAACGCTTTACCACTTCTTGCCCAAATGTCAAACATGTAGTGACTGGCTCTGGAATTCTAGCCCTGTACTTGGTGCGACTGGAGGAGATTCGAGGACACATATGACAATAGGAAATGTGATCATCTCGATGCTTAGGAACAGGAAAAAGGGGCAGGCACACTGGAAAGACTGAGTTGATCCTGACAAACCTTAAAATGATTATGTAGCTCTCATTTGAACATGCTCCCAGTTTAGTTTATGAATGCAACCTGAAGTTTAGGAATGAAGCCTTAGGAGCTACAATGATGGGATCGGCGTTTGGAGAATGATTCAGACTTTTCAGATGCGGTAATTCCCGTTTCCAATGCAGCAGCCTTGATTTGTAAGTAAACTGTCATCATGCACAATTTAAATTAGGTTATTAAGTAACTACGTGATTGATTTCATGAGCATAATAACAAGAAACTATAACGAAGGCAAAAGAAAAAATATAAAAGTAGTGAACCAATGATTTCTTCTTGGTTTTGGAGCATGGAATTTTGTAGCTTCTTTTTATTACAAAGATAAAAGTACAATAAAGTCAAAGGACTTATTAAATACACATACAGATATATTAATAAAATCTAGCAAAAACATTTGCTTTTCTACCTCTGGACTTAATTTTGCTCTTTAACGTACAGCATGTATTTATATGCTTATTTCTCGTACTTAATTGCACCAAAAGAACAAATACATTTATCCAATTTAAGGCATAAACATTAAGAGATTAAGTTTCACATCAATCTTCCTGTACTTTGTTATATATAAAATTTACCTCATTAATATTCTAGCAAACAGTCCCAAGAATAAAATATCCACCCCAAGTATTTTAGAGAAATATAATATTATACGCTTGATCTCCTGGAAAACCAATCTTTCAACTGCTCCTAAATTTATTCTACATTACTTGAATAATCAGGTGATTCGAAGGTTACTGTGAACAGTGAGCACTAATATATCTGGATCTGAGAAGGTTTTCACTGACCATTTGTTGGTTAGCACCTGATCCTAAAGAAGTCAAGTTCACTTGCATTAAGGATGAACTCCTTAATGAGCAGATTTGCTTTCCACGGGGCAAAAATCGGGTTCTCCCATTTCAAACTCAGCCCAGTTCCTGCCCTGCCAGCTCAGGCACTGCTCTCATGGAAAAGACTAAAAGGAAAGTCTTGGCTCACTTGGTAGAAAAGCTATCCAAAGCATGAGTTCCCAGTGACATCTCTGGAGGCAGACAAATTTAATCCTAGGCAATCTCAAAACGAAGGCAAAAACCCCTGACTTTGAGTATTTCCACTTCCTTACAAGAGATAACAGAATTTTAAAAATTCATCGTAGTAAGATATTAAGAGCTCAGAGGCTCTACCTTGATGCTACTGGCAATCAACTTCGGAATCCATAAGCAAGCCTCCAGACCCCCCAGGGGACCGTTCTCATCACTAAGTTAGAGCTTAAAAGATGTCTATTCTCTGAAATGGAAGTTATACCCCTCCTTTGTCCTGACAATTGCTGGAAGATGTCAGGTGCCAAAATGTGAAAGTGTTTATCCCCACGGTGTCTTAGAATACTCCTTTCCTGCTATTTTATGGGGTCTTAGGAGAAACACGAAGGCAGCTGCTCTTTCTGTAAACGATTAGCAGCAGCTTCTTGGAAGGACGACTGCAAAAGGACAGTCCTGGAAAATTATGGCAGGTTGGAAATCACCTATCCAGTTACAACGCGGGACAAGGTTTCATAGCCGCTTCGCAAACGCTGCCCATAAAAGTTATCAGTTATGCCCTTTTACGAAGATGGTGCCAAAGGCTAAGAAGGAAGCCCCTGCCCCTCCCAAAGCCGAAGCCAAAGCAAAGGCTTTGAAGGACAAGAACGTGGTGCTGAAAGGCGTCCACAGTCACAAAAAAAAAGAAGATCCGCACGTCACCTACATTCGGACGACCCAAGACACTGCGTCTGCGGAGGCAGCCCAAATATCCTCGAAAGAGCGCCCCCCGGAGAAACAAGCTTGATCACTATGCCATCATCAAGTTCCCCCTGACTACTGAGTCAGCCATGAAGAAAAGAGAAGACAACAACACACTTGTGTTCATTGTGGATGTCAAGGCCAATAAGCACCAGATCGAACAGGCTGTGAAGAAGCTCTAGGACATTGACGTGGCCAAGGTCAACACCTTGATCAGGCCTGATGCAGAGAAGAGGCACATGTTCGACTGGCTCCTGACTATGATGCTTTGGATGTTGCCAACAAAATCGGAATCATCTAAACTGAGTCCAGCTGGCTAAATCTAAATATAAATTTTTTCACCCAAAAAAAAAAAAAAAGCTATCAGTTATTCCTTCTAGTCTGTACAGCCTGTGATGCAATAATCATTGCCTTAATGTTGCAGAGGCAAAAGCTGGGGATGAGTTAATTTAGGCAACCAGCCCAGGGGAGCCTGGCCCCTGTGGGATGAACCCACGTTCTTCTGCATTCTCCAGCACCGACTCTCTGAAACAGCAAACGGGAGTGGACACCCGAGTCGGCCAGGCCACCAGGGTAACAACCACAATTTGTAGTGCTCCTAACAACCACAATTTGTTAGCACTCCTAACGATCCTTGTGTTCGTCCCATAATTCATTGATTTAAAAATGGAATTTTTCTTCTTCTTATAAACCACCCCTTCCCCAATATCCTTATCTTGTATTAAAACATTGGTCTCTGGAAGATGCCCACCATTTACACACTTGTTTCAGCCTTCCCCTGGCCCAACACCCATGGAGGTGCAGCCTCGTGTGTTAAGCATGGCGTGTAGCCTCCTCATACTGATCAAAACCATCACCAGGTCCTACATCTTTCAGATATGAGGACCCCTAAGAGTCTCGGACCCCAGTTAGAAGTCTGCAGTAGCGCAATCGTCTCTGAACAGCCTCTTCCTCACACAGGTGGTGTGCGAGGCTGGGCTCAAGACAGAGAGAATGACAACCCAACAAAAGTCACATCCATGGAATGATGGCGCTCAGCCTGAGGACTGTCCCACCTCTTCACCACGGTGTTCTTCTTCGAACCGGCTGTTCTTCAGGAGAGCATGGTGCACAATCCTGTGGAGCATTACCATCCACCTGACCAATTCCTCATTATTGGGCTTTTATGCATTTGTCGTATTTTTTATTTTATAGAAGATTGCTTTGTCGATAATCACTATATTTGTCTCTCTGATTATTTCCTTCTGACACATTCCCAGAAATAGAATTGCGATTCTAAAATAATGAACATTTTTTCAATGTATTTACATACATTGAGTTTGGCAATGTTGGTGCAACTGACACCCCATCCAGTGGTGTGTGGAGGGACTCTCCCTCACAGACCCTTAGCCTTCCAGTCTTCACTATTACGTATTTCTAAAATGACTATAAATAAGTTCAACGTACTGAATTCCTAAAAATTGGTCTCTTCTAATATATTTGGAGGACAGTTGTATTTTCTTTTGTGTATTGACTCTCTCTATTATTTGTTTTTCTACCAAGAGATGGTGATCTTTTTCATTCATTTCTATGACCGCTGCATTTTTTAAAACTATTAACACTTTGGAAGACCTGCTGCAAATATTATTCCTCATTTATTATCTGCCTCTTAATTTTGCTCATTATTTAATGCACAAATGTTCATTTTAATTTTTGTCATGGTCAATGATCTCAGTATTTCCCTTTGTGCTTTCTCCCCCTATTTGGATATTGGAAGGGCTTTCTCCACCCAGAATTAACTCCTTTCTTTTGCGTAACATGGAAACTGGGGGTTCATTGTTAAGTCACTTACTCAGTCTTCTATTTGTGAATCTCATTTTTAAAAAGAATCTGTGTGTGAATTTTAAAATATCTTCCCAATGAATGTGGTCTTATTTAAGGTCTGTGACCTGGCACTCTAAGGCTGGCAGGTCACGCTGAGGTTAATGTCAAATTTTGATGAAAATTATTTTAGGAGTAAATGAAAATCAATCTTGAGGAATAGCTATTCAAACACCTACAGGAATTAGGGGCGCCTGGGTGGCTCAGTCGTTCAGCGTCTGCCTTCGGCTCAGGTCATGATCCCAGGGTCCTGGGATCGAGCCCCGCATTGGGCTCCCTGCCCGGCGGGAAGCCTGCTTCTCCCTCTCCCACTCCCCCTGCTTGTGTTCCCTCTCTAGCTGTCTCTCTCTCTCTCTGTCATAAATAAAGAAAATCTTAAAAAAAAAAAAAAACACCTACAGGAATTAGTCCAGATTTTGAACCAATAACTGCGAATTTTCTCCAATTATAGTTTTCTATCAGAATATTAACAGAGGATTTTTCCTGCCATAGTTTTGACTGAGTTTGAAGCTAATATGTATCACATCTCAAAGTGAGACCAAATATGGACATTTGAAAATAGGTTGTCCGAAAACTGCCTAAATTACTTTTTTTTAATGTTTTATCTCTACACCCACACCCAATGTGGGGCTTGAACTCATAACCCCAAGAACAAGAGTCTCATGCTCTATTGACTGAGCCAGCCAGGTGTCCCAGCCTAGATCACTTTTGACCGCTACGTCTAGACTGAGGGCATAATAGCTCCAAATGAGAGATAAAGGGAGACCGCACACGTGGGAAATTTTTTGTGTGGCAGTGGGGCCTGGATTCCTCCCTAATTCAAGTCAGGAGAGCTTGTCTTCAACGGCCACCAACAGAAGCTCTGTGTCCTCAGGGGTTTGGTGGAGACATTATTACTGGCTTTGATTCCTGACTAGAAGAAGTAAGGGGCAAGAGACAGGCTGGCTCTCTGCTTTCGTGGGCAGTGAAGGGGAGTCACAGATACACTGGCATCGCTCATGAGTTCACAGGGGCAAAGACAAACACCGGGAGGATTTTCTGGGGACAAGCCATTTTCGTTTTCAGTTCTGTTTCAGGGGGATGCCTGAGGAGGAAGCACGGTTCAGCAGAGACAGGCTGCAGTTCCCCTGGTTCCCCAGAGCAGAGGCAGGTGTGAAGGACCCTCTGGAGATTCCCAGTGATGGGGGGTAAGGAGGTGGTATCTGAAGAACCCCCACATCCTCACAAGGGAAGTGGTCAGCTTCTTGCCCAGAGAGCAGAACATCCTCTCAAGGAAAGTCAAGTCAAAGCCTTCCAGGTCCCATTGTGTCTCCTCCTGCCCATCTGTCTCCTCCCATCTTCTCTCTCCACTTCAGTGACACAGAAGAAGAGGCAGTGGAAGGAGGGGAAACTAGACGAGCACAGCCACCCTCCCTCCCATGGACTCCCTAGTCTGATGCAACACTATGCAAGCAGCAGGTTCAAGATTTCACTGAGATCAGGGTCCTCAACACCTGAGCCCACCAGCCCCTGCAGGATCTAGGGAGAGATTCAGGGGATTTGCAAACTTGGAAATGGGAAAATGGTTAGTTTTATTTTTTTTTCTAACCCAAAATGAAATTTAGAAAATTCTTCAATGGTGAACCTAGGCCACACACCTACAATGCTATCATCGAAAGAAATATGTTCCTATCACATTGTGGTCATAGCAGGTATCTCCAAATATCCCCCATATTCAACTCTACTCCAACATCATGGTAATGATTACATCCGTTACTCAGTGCCTTCATAAAGAAGGACGTGCATTACAAATCACAAATTTAATTTTAATATTAGGATTATGATGTTTCCATATAACTGGGTTTCTTCGTAATTCTAGGCACCATTTTTATGACATTAAAAACACAATTCTGACAAGGAATCCACGGCTACACCCAAGATTTAGAGGGTAATATGGCATAAAAAAGATCAGTGCACCCTGACTTCATGCAAGCTGAGGCTTTTCATGGTTATACAGGACCAGACATTCTAATCTCTTACTGAGACTATGCGTTGTGATATAAAGTAACCATAAAAGCTCTATTCCCTAAAAATGGCCAGAAAGCTGATGACATTGGCTAAGTCTTCATTCAGAAGTAAGGGATGAACCAGACGTACCGAAATAACAAAAGGAGACAAAAATAAAATTGCTTGATGTTTGCATCTCATGAATAATTCTTTTCCAACAAACCAAGTAAATGAGTCCCAAGGCCAGATGTTATATATCAAATTCTGTGACAAAAGAGTAAAGAGCCAGCGTCTTCATAATGGATCTGAAAGTCATTACAGTCATATTTTCAAAGAGCATCTATGAGCTCGAACTCAGGAACGCATTTCCATATGCTCTGTAACAGCTTTTTTTTTTTTTTTTTGGAATTGTATCCTTTTTTGAGGCTTTGTTTTCTTCTAAGAAGAATATCTGTGTAAACCAAGAGGTCTTTTTCAAAGAGCTACATTATGTTTCGTTATTTTATTGCATATTCTAACAGAGGAGAAAAAGGCAACATACTAGAAGTGTAGCGGCATTGAGCCTTTTGTTGACAGCTTTATCTTTTTTGCACAATTTAACAGCGTGGGAAATGATGCTTAATTTTAAACCACAACTGGCATCCCAACTCAGGATACAGAAATCTGTGGAAGAGTGTCTTCCACTGTCCCCACCTACAATAGACCAGAATGCGCACAATTTGGAGGCCAGCTCAGGGTGGTGGCAGTCATTAACATGATAGACTAACCAATTCAGATGTAAGAATCCACCGAAACTGCCACTTGCTAAATGCTGAGAGCCATCTTCGAGGAACAACTTCCTAGCCTCCCAATCACTGTTACTTCCCTCATAAAAAGCTCAGAGATGATCATTTAGTTATTACACAATTATTTGCAACGTTTATGCTCAATGCTCAATAGAAACAAGTCACAAAGAATGTCAAACACTGAAGATGGTTGAACACGATAGCAATTTATGGCTCTGTACTGATTCTTTCCACAGCTTCGCTAATGAAGTAGGTGGGTCCTTCTGTTCAGCAGTATTTGAAACACTCATCCTATTTTTTTATTTAGCAGGCATCTTTTTTAAAAGAAATATAAAGCTCTAATGTCTTCTGCCAAACAGAGAAGCAAAGGTCTTTTGGGTTTCTAGGCTGGACATTGGTGCATTCCATGTGTTCAAAGAACCGTTACCCACTCCAGTCCGGATTTCGAGCCTCCCACTCCACTGAAACCGTCCTCGCTGAGAAGACCAACGACCTCCACGTTACTAAGTCCAACAGCCAACTCACAATCTCCAGGCACTTGATCTCCCAGTGGTATCTGATAGTCCTCTGCTTCCTCCCCCCACTCCTCCTCCTCATCATACTTTCTTTCCTCGGCTCCTGCGACATCTCATTCTTTTGGTTTTCCTCCTACCTTGGGAGTTCCTCCCCCCAGTCTCATTTCTGGATCTTTCTCTTCTTCCTAAGTTCCATGGCTCGGTCCCAAATTCTCTTCCCTTCTGTATCAAATCTGTGATTTCATCCAAGGTCAAGGCTTTCAATGTCAGGTACATGCTAGTGTTCCCAAAAGTGAGTCTGCAGCCCAGACAGCTCCTGACTTCCAGACTCCAGTATCCAACCACAAAGTCAACATCTCCATAAAGATGGCTCAGAGGCAGGTGTAGCTCTATGTTTCCCACACTGTCCCTGCTCTAAGCTCGTTTTGTCCTCTGCCTTCTCTGTCCCATTTGATGTCAACTCCATCACTCCAGTTGTTCAAGCTACAAGTCCTTGGAGTCATTCTGCAGTCATCCTTTCTCTCCCATCACCTGGCCATCAGGAAGTTCCAGTGGATCTTCTTTCCATGCAGACGGAAGTTAGCCACCTCCTACCCCCTCAGCTTCCTGCGGCTTTGTCTGAGCCACACCACCAACCTCTGGGTTACCGGAAAAGCCTCTTACCTAAACTCTCAGCATCAGCCCTGCCCTTTGATAGTCCATCCTTAACACAGCAGTCAGAGCGAGTGATGCTTTTAGAACTGAAGTAGGACCATGTCTCACTCTCTTTAGAGCCCTCCAACGTGTTCCTGTCACACTCTGAGTAACTACATCCTCACACGGGTACACAGACCCTGTAGGATCTGGGCCAGCTACCTCCCTCCTTTCCTTTACTCTGCTTAGACTCACAGGCCCCTGTGCTATTTCTAAATCACAACACACCCACCCCTGCCACAGGGCCTTTGCACCCACCACTGTTCAGCCTGAAATGCTCCTATGCACACCTGTGGTGTGTGCAGACCTCTCTCAGATTACTCAAAATTCCTTGTCAGTGAGACCTTACCTGTGTGCCTCCAAAATGTCAACAACACGCTCAGCACCTCCCTGTCTTGTTTTATTATTTTCTCCTTTGCATTTATCATTATTAATATGCTATATATTTAGCTCATTTATATTGTATATTATGTACCTTCCCCAATGAAATGTGAGCCCACAAAAAAAAGGATTTTTGTGGTTTTGTTCATTATTATTTTGTTCACAGGAGGTGGTTAATTAATAGCTCCTCGATAGAGTAATTAGAATATTTTTCCATTTGAATGTGTGATTTTTCGATAAATTCTAAACATACTTTGTTTTCTTTGCTTATAACTTGGCATTATGTTTTTTTGAAAGTCTTTTGAAATTTATATTCCAAAGTCCAAAATCAGTATCTAGGAAGACTATTCTATCTAGAGGTCTCAAAGTGCTTGATTTGCATTTAATAAATCTAAAATTGAATCAGGGCTCACACCACTTTTATCCATTTAAACAAGTCACTTCTCTCATCACTGTATTCAACCTCACACCTTATTTTTTCCATGGTAGAAATTGACACTTCTTATGCACCCCATGCTTCAAGCATCATAGTCCCGTCTGCTAGTTTAATTTCTCTCAATTTTCTTCCCTGAGCTTCAATACATTTAGTTCCACTGCAATTAACTTTAACACCAGCATGCCCAGTTCAAGTACATTTTATGGGTCAATAGTCCAAATGTTTCTTATTTTCATGATTAGACATTACGCTTATATTAGAATTAATCCAATTTAATTGTACTGTCTTTACATCACTGCAACTGTGCCTGATAGCTATAAAAAAAGTAATGACATGATTTTGCTTGGATTTAGAAATTCATTCACCAGAGTAACCCATAATTTGTTTTTCTTAAAATTAAAATGAAAACATTATCCTATAAGTTCCAGTTCAGATACCACACTGACAAAGTAATGCATAAAAATTATTCCCAATTTTTAAACATACATGGAAGGAAGTCCTGAAGAAAATATATCATCCCCTAACTCCTGGTTTTCTCTGAGCGGTGACATATGTGATTTCTATTTTCCTTTTGCATACTTAGGTGTTTTCAAGATTTTTACAAAAAATAGATAGTACTTCTACGATCAGAAAAAAAAGACATTTTTATAGTTAATTGTACCCAATTCTATGCAGTAGAAATCAACTGAAATTCTCTTTTTAGGCAATCTTTTGGAGTCAGTTACATAAACTTACCAGAGTTACCCCTTCATCATTTTTCTCATCGACATTTCCACCACCTGATAAGAAGTGTTTGACATCCGTTAGCATGCTCAATGGTCTCTGAAGCTTCATCTGGCGCAGCGAGGTCAGATCCACTCCTAGGAGGAAAACAGCCTTTCAATCAGAAGGCAGAGATGCTTCTCAGCCACTTGGGGGTCAACCCTTAGCTTTATCTTACTGTTCTTTCAACAGGTTCCTCTTTGAAGCCCCTCTTCCACTTTGAATTCTCACTCAAACTCTGTGTAATTGTTTTTCTCGGCATGCATTCTATTTTCAGCTAGAATACAGTCTTGAATAATTTTCCTCTTGTTACATCCCAAAGATGTGATATGATGCCTTATCCATGACAGGCTCTCATTGCATCTCTGGTTTAGTATATAAATCATCAAGGGACACTGCCCAAAGTATTTTAAACGGTTTGAATTGAACTGAAGTGAGTTAGAAAATATAGTTTTTGTTCTCTATCATTTCCTGGCCAAAAGAGTTGCTTCCAAAAGCAATGTGGTATCCTGGAACAGAAAACTGCCTATGGTGGGAAAACTGGAAAAATCTGAATAAATCTATAGTTTGGTGAATACTATTGTACCCACGCTAACTCCGTAGTTTGGATCAACACAGTGAGGCCGTGTAGATTGGTGATGTGGGGAAACTGGGTGAAGGGTGTACGGAATCTCCCGGTGATATTTTCACAACGTTCCCATCTATCTCAAGAGCTTTCAAAACACATTTAAAGAGATTCTCCAATCAAGCATTTCATGACTGTTTGTGTTAATAAAGAATCAACTAAAGCGGAGTGAAGAACTGGCTGTCCAACTTGACTGAGGGGGGTGGATGTGGCCACGGAGAAGTCAGGTCTGCTCACTGTCCGTCCATACATCAGCACAGCCTTCATTTTAACCTGAGCTTTCACGATCGTGAATCTCCACGGTAGCTCATACCTTCACATTTATGCATTCTGTTCCCAGCATTGGTTCCTGGACAGAACAGGTGTTTACTAAGGGGAAATAATCCACCTTATTGTCAGGGAAAGTAATCATGATGACGATGATGATGATGATGATGATGACCATTAACATCTGGCTCTCAGCCAGTGGCTGCTATGAACCAGCACTCTCTCCCTCTCCCATCTGACTGAGTCCTTGCGGCAAATGTGGAGGTGGGCGGGATGCAGGGGACCAGAGCACCAAGGCCACCGGGAGCAGTCCCCCTGGTCATGCCAGTCTGTGGTTGACCTCCCCTGGGGCAACTCTGGGAAAGGAACTTAACCTGTCGGATCTTCCACATCTGTACTCACTCCGACAATAATACACATCCCAAAGGAGTAAAGAAGCTACAGACACTATTTATAGGATCTGTCCATGGGGCAGAGAGCATCCAGCCTGTTGCTCACCTGCCATCATTTTCCCCTCAGAGCCCAGCACCTCCGCCTCGTGGCACAACTCTCTCCCGGAGCCTGGCTGAACAGCAGAGCATGGCCTCAGGGGTCAGGCTGCCTGGGTTTTAGTGCTGGGTCTTGTACCTACTTCTAGTGCCAATGGGAGAAGGTAACTTATCCTCGACCTCACTTTCTCCAGCGCAAAATGGGGCTGATAATTTTTGTTTCACTAGTTGTTATGAGGATGAGTTACAAACAACACAGAAAGCACCCCGCCCCGTGTTTAGCTTGTGGCCAGCACTCAATAGACGGGAGCTCTCATCCGTACTCAGCTTCCCCACTGCAGGGCTTACGTGCCATTCATTATGCCTCTTGTCATAAAGAGGCAGGCAAGAAGCAAACAAAATAAAGCCGAATGCACTATTTGAATAATGTGGGCTGTTTCAAAATACTCTGTCCAAAGTAAACCCACGTTAGTAGAGACATGAAGGGGCACCAATGACCAGCTTTGGAATCTCCACACGCCATGTTGGAAGAACGAACAGATTTCCCCTAAGAGCTGCTTTGAGGTTTGTTAAGAACCAACTAAAACTATCACTCTCTTCTTATTTTTAGGATGATGGAATTGAACATGTGAGTTAATTTTGGAAAATATTATTTCTCAAATGTCAGTGTTCAATTTTGTACAGTTGGAAGCAGCAGAAGAATCTGATGGTTACATTATTCTAACTTTTATAATGTGGCAGTGTTTATGGGAGTGGTGTGTATCTTTTAGAGAATTACTTAAACACATGGTTAAAACTGAATAATAGAAGAACAGGGCTCAAAGATAAAAGACAAATTAAAAACATATTAGAGATCACTCATTTCAGCTCACTTACGATGTGTCATGAGAAAGCAATCTATTTTAGCCATTGTTGTGAAGGAATCAGAGGGGAATATTATGACCTTGTATCTTACTATTTTAAAACTTAATTTTGAACCAAATATGATACCAAGTAAAATGTGATTTCAGATTTTCATTATATGTTCAGGAAAAAAGCATAAGTCTATTTTCAGCAAGACAACAGAACAGAAATCCCTTCTTTTCTTGGTCAAGCAAACTTCTTAAGCTGCTCCAGGAGAAAAACAGCCAAGACTTACTATGGTCATAATAGGTCTATTTTGTAATGGGCAATTGGCCAAGCCTGTCTTTTTTTTTTTTTTTTCCAAAGGAATTAAGTCTTATTTTCATCCTGTTTTCTGAAAATCATTAACAGAAGTCCTGATTAGATTTATCATTTTGACAGGAATTTGGTAATTTTTTTTCTTTTAGGAAATAAGAAAAACATCATTTCCTGAAATTCACAATTCCTGCTAATATTATTGCCTGATTACATCTGAACCATCAGGAGGTGCATGTGCAGAACTGAAATCGCAGTAATACCTCAAGTCAGTCCAAACCCTATGGTAACTCATCTCCCTAACTGTCCCTCTCACGATAACATTGTTTTTGTAACAATTCCATGTTTCCTCTTCTCCATTACCCCTTCTTCCCTGGGGGGGCTCGGGGGGGGCTCGGTGGGGGGGACTCGGGGAGGGGACTCGGCGCTGCTAGCACAGACAATACTGTACCACTGCGCCCACACGACCAGCCCCTTGATGGAGGCACGGCACTCTCTCAGCTCCTAGAAGTCCCAACTCTACGTTTTGTCTCCATCGGAAGCTTCCTAAGCTTGCTAAATCCAACAAGGCTGCTCTGGGCAGGCAACAAAAGGAAGCTGGTTCTAGCAAAGAAAAATAAACACGTTCAAGCCAAAAGGGTGTTTGAGCCCTGCCCCCGATCCCTTCCCCTCGATCCTGACCAGAGGCATCATGTGGGACTGTCCCAGGCACCCTGGGACACACCACCACCCTAACAGTGGGTGATTCCCAAGACGGTGGTGCGGGGAGAGCATTCTGAATGAACTTTATTAGGCAGACGAAATACACGAGGGCACTGTGCACTGATGAATCTGGGAGTCTTGTGAAGATTCGGGGGGCTAAGCCAGTTTCCGAGGCTGTTCCAAAAAGAGACAACCCAGGGTTTTAACTAAGGCAGCAACCGCACAATCAGTGAGGGATGGGGATGTAGCGGAGGGAGGTCAGGGAAGCAGAATCTATGAAATTTGGTGACAATTCAATGTGAGAGACTTAGAAAAAAGAAGTGACATTCAGATGGTCGGATTCCTGGCTAAAGGGTACAACAGACTATGGATAGGGTACACAAGGAGAACGGTAATTTCCATACTGGACATGTTATTTCAAATTGTCTGATACTTTAACTTTATTAAAAATTGCACACTGCAGAGCAGAAGGTCTTCAGAGATAGCTAAGCTGCAGGAGTATTCCTGGGGGCAGGCAGGTGGTCACCACACAAGGAATGGGGTGAGATAAGGCCAAAATAGCACGCGGCGGGCTGGAAGAAGATATGCAAAGACAAAAGCTCTGGCAATCATCCATATTTTGGCGCCTGCACGTGCAAGTCTCCAAAGGAGACTAAGTGAAAGCTCAAGGAGAATGCAGAAGAGTACAAACAATCATTGCAGGTGAACGAGGGTGCACAGAACAGTGGGATGGGGGTCACAGGGAGACGAGTGAGCACAGAAGGGTGATCCGCCCACAGAGAGCCAAGGAGGAAATGGCCATCCCTGCAGGGACATTTCCAGCAGCAGAAGAAGCTGAACTTCAGTGGGCTCGGTAGAGGAGACCAGGAGCTCAGGAGAACAAATGGGATCGACTTCTTCTAAAAGGATGGATGTCCATGGAAGGAAGAGAGGGAGCTGGGTGATGAAACACAGGGAGCAGAGTGGAAAGCAGATGTTCTTCCTGGAGCCGTGCATCCATCCCAGACCACCCTGTGCTCCCCCTGCGGCGCTTTCTTCCCTTGCGGGATCATTTTATAACCCATTGCTTTCTGCAAAAGCCAGTGGGTTCGCCTCGCGCAGCAGAGCCAAGATGCATCACGCGCTCAATCGGCGCTCCGGGTTGTCTCATTTCCAGCCCGGGGAGCTCAGGCGGTGAGCCGAGGTTAACTGCTGTGCCCGGATGGACAGTGTGTGTCGGCGGCAACAGTACAATTAGGACCGTGACCAGTGATTTTCCACGTAATCAGCTTGCTCACGACCTCGCCTGCCTCCTGCCACATGCATCCTGATGGGACGGTGTGATAAGTACTCAGTGCGGAAACTGTAGGAAGCGCACGGAAAATTCAGGGACTTGCAACCACCCAGCTATTAAGAATGCAGTGCGGAAACACCGAGAGCCAAATAGTAATGACGATCTTGTCGTGGGATATTAGAAATTTCTGAGGCTATCAGCCCACGCTGTCATAGCGGATAACTCTAAAAGCACACCGACGAGGGGGCAGAGAATAAATCGAATGAGACAGTATTCCCGGCAAGCGTGGCAGCTCATACAGACACGGAGGAGGGACCCTGGCAGGAACGGGGAGCAGACTGAATGACCCGAGGGGGGGCAGAGGGGTGGGAGGCAGGGACAAATGGAAAACAGCATTAAAAACTGAGGAGATACTAAATTGAGTTTGTTCCAGCAAACATGCATGTTACAAACTGATTGTGACAGCCAGCGTCGTGACAGATTTTCTCCTAACCATTCAGAGTCAATGCCTCCCCCTCTTTCTTCTCCCTTAACCACGTTTAAAATCAACCTCATGGGGCGCCCGGGTGACTCAGCTGGTTGGCATCTGGCTCTTGGTTTCAGCTGGGGTCGTGGTTTTGGGGCTGTGGGATCAAGCCCTGTGTCAGGCTCCGTGCTCAGAGGGGAGTCTGCTTGAGGATTTTCTCTCTCTCTCTCTCTCTCTCTCTCCCTCTCCCCGTCTCCCCTTGATTCCTCCACCCCTGCTCTCTCTCTCTCTACAAAAATGAAAAATAAAAAATTAAATCAATCTCCCAAAGGAATACACTTATTTTTCTTTATAGAGGGTAGATAATACTGCTTTTGCAAATACTAAAATTTCTTATCAAACAAAATCCTTGGATGAATTGGAAAGGCTTATCAGTCAGGTGAGTTCTTTTGCAAATAAAGATACTTGATTTTAATTTTCAAAGAGAAATATTTACCACTGTGGCTACAAGAAACTCAGAAGAATTAGAGCAGAAAGGTGTTAAATAGAGCTGACTCAGCTAATACTACACAACTGAGTTCTGCGTGCAAACTCAGAAGTGGGCACGGCCAGTCCAAGTTTTGCAAAGGTCCAAACAATGAACTTTGCAGCCGTGGGATGTGCATGACGTCAGGCTTCCCTCCCCTTAGAAGTGATGAAATCTGTCCCCAAGGAGTCACTGCTGACAAGCGGATAAAAGATCTGAATGTGACCCTCATGTAAGGAGCAGGTACAAGGAGTGAGGAGAAGAGCCGGGAGCCACACCCCTTCCCCCACGCTGCCTCTGTCACCCCAGCCGGAGACTCTGTAACCTTCGGTAGGACAGCCCAGCTCACACTGTCCCTAATGAAGATAATGGTACTCACCCCGCTTTCAGAATTAATGAGATAATTTTTTTTAAGAACTCGGTGGCTGCTAAGTACTAATTATTATTATTCTAAGCCATCCTCAGAATAAACCTTTTGATACAAGGGATCTGGAGGAGGCAAAGAGCGCAGGGAACAAAGAGGCAGATGTGAGGGCTTTTCTTAGAAGCAAGAAGGACAGAATCAGAAGCACTGTGTGGCTCTTAAAATTTTTTAAACTTTTTCTCTGACAAAAGATCATACTTGAAGGGACTGGAGTTTCTTTGTTGTTATTTATACCTAAACAGAAAGGAAAAAAAAAGTGGCAGACTTCTTCAGCTTAATACCATATTGGGCTCAGGATTGCAGATACCTCCCACTTTGCCAGTGCTGAACTTACTCGTGAAATTATACGTTTAGTCTGTGCAATTAAACACTCTTTGTCAGGAGATATAGCTGGGAGCTGGGGCTCATCTCTTCAGGCTAGCACCGTGACCCAGGTGCCTGCTTCCAACACTGGTGTTTCCACGTGTCACCAACAGTGGGTGCTGGAATGCTGTGCAGGCTGCCCTTGACTTAAGCCCTCACTCACGGGCATGTCCTTCTTGCAATGACCACCCGCTCCTAAGAGAATACACTTCAGATGACCTGGCTCTCATTAACTCAAAATTCAGTTGTGCTGGTTTACTTCCTTTGCCCTCCCAGTGGAGAATAGATTATAATTACAAACCCAGTGCCACTAATTACAGACTTCAGATGCTTGTTAAAATGTTCCTTCATTTCTGGCCTCTAGATTTCTGCTGCCCTGCAAAACGGCATTGACTGAATCAACAATGCACCGCGGTGGGAACAATGAAATGTTATCGAGAAAGACAGACTTCACGTTATACAATCTAGGGAGAGCACATCCATCTGCAATCATGTGAGCATGCCTAAAAAATAAGTATGCACTTGTAATTCTACCATGCTGTCTTTAAATCTTTGTACAGTTTCTCAAAGCATCCGCCTACCACTTTCATCCAGATAGGTCAACAGGATAGAACTGGATTCTGTCCCCTCTACGGCATAATCCAACGGGATATTTCCATTAACATCCTGGAGAAGGACGTTGGCTCCAGCCTGTAAATGAAAAAGAACAAACAGAAAATGATGTATATTGTTAGCAAAGAAAGCAGATCAAAACTTTTACTTCTATGTTAGTGGAGAAACAGGTCCAGAAAAGTCTGTATTAGATACAACCCTGGAGAACCCTGTAGGAAACGATAATTACGTTGCAAGACAAATACAATTACTTTGTGAGAAACTCCAATAGGCTAAAAACGGACCTTTGCAAGACCTTAGCCCTGACTACTTCTCCCCACCCCTCTCGCTAAACCCCAAATATCCAGCCCATGACTGCTGAGCCAACCGCACCCCTGTGTCTTGTTTCTAACACAGCAGGAACTCCCCATGCCTTCGGAAAGTCTCCATGGAGAACTTTTCTATGAACTTTGACCCATCTTCCCCAAACTATCCTAAAAGCTTCTCAAGCACCTCTTCCACAGGAAGTCATCCGAGAGCTAGTCTCACACTACTATGTTTTAATAAAGGCTTGGACTAATGGCTTCTGGCTGTTTGTCTTTTTTTTTTCCTCTTTCCAGAAACTATTTTCTGAAAAAAGCACAATCTGTAGATATCAATGGATGAAGAACATTAAATATGGCCATGACACCTTGTTTAGCTTCAAAGCACCCTTCATCAAGCAACTCTGAGGATGCATGCCCCACCTCGCCGCCCATTCCAGCTTAAATACAATGACAGATGTACTTTCCCTTTGAAAAAAATTTGCTCACATAAATCTTTAATGAGCTCCATAATATTTATCAGGCATGGCTTGCATCTCTTCTCCAAGGGCATGGCGTGAACACGTACCCATTGACCAAGGCTCCCCGTTCACCTCCCAATCACGAGTCACTGAACTCAGGTCAAGGCAAGGAAAGTCTTCCCCTATTCTCTCTACTGAATACAATTCTGTGCTGCAATGTTACTAAAGTTCATATACTCTCTGAATTCCTAAGGTTTCATGAAAAGGTGTGTGACATTCATAATCTCATACACTAAAATGGGGGATTTTGCCTTCTGTTATTCTATACCTGTATTAAACAAACAGCTTTCCTATAGCTTACCGACTCCACATAGCGTTTCCACAGGACTGATCTAAATATCCTGTGAAGACAAAACTAAAAGTAGATCCAAGTGGCAAAATCTTCTATATCTTGCTATCTGCCCTGCAGAGAACTATGCCGCTCCCCTCACCCCCCAGAGTGCAGCACATTCGATTTTCTATAATCATATAAAGATACTGCTGTATTTGAACAAATTAAGTTCTATAATGCAGATTTTCACTTAGCTAAGGAAACATGTAAGTTTAAGGTCCTTAAGACTTCAAAGGATCTTCTTTGTGCATTTAATTTTTTTAGGCATTCAGAGTTTGGAAGGAAATCACTTGAGGCAGTACTGTTCAGCAGACTTTGCTAATTAGTCCTCTCCTTTAGCGTCCAACCAGGAGAGTAAGATTTTGCAAACCTACTCAAGTATCAATTGTTAAAGAGAGAACTGCAGGCTGTCATTGTCCATTTCAATACTCATGAGCGGAAGTCAAGCAAGTCATTCTCTTTTTTCCCCAGTGCATAAACATCCAGGCTAGAATCTTATCTCTGCCAAACATCTGGATACAAGGCAACAGTGAATATAACTAAGAGTCACGTATTATCAATAACAACAAAAAGAAATAGGAGGACAACTCAGTGCTGAGGGGGATGGTGCACCTGGAGTGAATTTCTACTCTGTAAGAAGTAATGAGGCTCTTTTTTTTTTTTTAAAGATTTTATTTATTTGAGAGAGAGAGAGAGAACATGAGAGGGGGCAGGGTCAGAGGGAGAAGCAGACTCCCTGCCGAGCAGGGAGCCCGAGCAGGGAGCCCGATGTGGGGCTCGATTCTGGGACTCCAGGATCGAGACCTGAGCCGAAGGCAGTTGTTTAACCAACTGAGCCACCCAGGCGCCCCAGAAGTAATGAGGCTCTTACAAAGCAAGTCTGAAGCTGACACCTACAGCTCAGTATTTTAGCTGGGCTCATTCACTGCAATTCCAACCCATTCATCACTCACCAGTCTGCGCTGCTCAATTCCCAGGTGTTCTCCCCTGTACAGAAGTTAGTCTTCCCTGGGGGTGAGAAACTTCCCTCATCAAAGATCACAACTTATCCCCCCTTAGAGTAGCCCCCGCCCTCCGCCCCCGCTATGGTGCCTGGCCCATGTTAGGAACTAAAAAAGGTTTACTGGAAAAAAAAAAAAAAAAAAACCCAAAAAAGGCAAAAACTGAACTTACACTAATTATTAAAAATTAAAGCAGAGAACTATAATTTTCATAATTTTTAACTAAATTCCCTTTTATTTGTAAGGGTGCACAAAGAAAATGACAAAATCACTGTATGCATACTTACATTTCCTGACTTTGCTCTTTCACATGTATATTTGTGAATATTCCTTTCCTTTCCTTCCTTCCTTCCTTCCTTCCTTCCTCCCTCCTTCCTTCCCTCCCTCCTTTCCTCCTTCCCTCTCTCCATCTCCCTCTCCCCCGCCTTCTCCTTCTCCCTCTCTTCTTTCTTTCATCACTGGACAGGGTGAGAGCACCCCATCTGTGGGTGTCCTGGTGCTGGGCCGCCTCCACCCTGACCGTCTGGTCTTGGGAGAGGTCCCCAAACAAGCTGAACTGTATTCAGTAAGAACACTGGTCTTCAAGGATCCCCTAAGAAGCTCTACATCTGGAATTACACTTCTGAAATTGTACATCTATGAAGAAAACAAAAATGGAAAAAACCACCATTGATAAGATTCATGACTGGTTATCATTCTTAGCGTGGCTGGCTCGAGCGTTAGTGTGCAATTTTAGTTGTTAATGGATCCCACTGGAACTGAGGGGCTGAGGACTTGCAAAGTAAGACTTCTCCTCAAAATATCAGAGACCTGCCTTAAACCATCAGGATGGTCTAATTTCCAGCAGGCAGAAAGGAAACGGCCCACGGGGTTGGGAGTTAGTAACATTTATAACGTATTGTGCGAGTACTTATTTTTTTAAATACTCTGAGCCACTCAGTAACATAAAATGAATTTTCTCAAGTTTACAAAGTGAGAGCCAATAAAACATTCAATAAAAATATCCCCTTGACATTGTCCCTTTTTAATATGAAATTTGAAAACATATATGTATTCTAAAATATTTTTTCTCTTCCAGACATGATATTCTTAAATACGTTTTTTTAAAAATAAAATTCTTTTCACATTTCAAATTTATTCCACGGATGCTGAGTCCAAAATGGTTTTTCAGTGCTCAGTATCAAAGCCGGGGCAAAGTGCTCCTGAACTGACCACATATTAATCACAGTGTTTCCGTGGATACAGGGCTCCCTATTTTCAGCACAGAATGTGGGCGCCAAAAGCAAACATAAACTTTAATTTCCCCATGTGTCGGTGTGTGCATTTCACGGCGCACACCACTGTTTCATTCAAGGGCCTGAGAAGCAGGATGACGTGAGGGCTTTAGGCTAGATTTTCAAACACAGGACAAAGCGTGTCCAAGGTCGCACCTACCTTATTGTACAAGAACAACTGTCTAAGCCATCACAACATGTTTTCCAAAGCTTAAACAGTATTTTATAATAACTGAACGCTGTACTTTATAAAAACAGATGGCTTAGGAACTGGCTGTGTAAAAAGGATAGCGAGAGTGAGAATAGATGGTAGACACACATAGTTTCTCGTTTATATCCAGTGCCCGTGAGCACACTAAGCCCTGGGAGGTGTGTGTGCGCGCACACAGGTGTGTATGTGTGCAAAACATCTTCCTAGTTCTACATTCCTACACCTGATCACCAGATGTCAAATTTCTTACACTGACAGTCGTCATTATTCTTTGTCTTACTCAAAGAAGTTCCGCATTAAGAAAAACTTGCATTAGCGAGAAGAGCTCAACCAAAACGTTATCCTTGTACAATACAGACTGTGAGGCAAGTCCTTCTGTTTGGCCTCAAGACAATTAATCACATCGTGATTGGTTTTCATCAGGGAAATGAAAGTAATCAATGTTATCTACGCAAAATCCCACTCCTCAAATACTTCCTTCGGTTGAGGACTGGACAGTTTCTACGGGGAGCCCTGAGCACATTTTCTCTAAGGAAGGCCACCCAAACCCCAGGCTGTCCTAACCTATGTTCCTTGGCATTGGAAACAGAACTCAAATATATCACCCCCCCACCCGCCAGATAGGAAACTTACTTACTGCCTATCAGATGACATATGAACCCATAAGTGCACCTTTCCTGTAAATAAACCTTGTATTGGTTGCTTTATGTAACCATTTAATGTCAGTGAATATATCTGCCAAGCCTTTCATTCAGTAATAATTCTCTAACACATTAATACTGGAATTTTAATGAGAGGCACCTGATGGCATCTTAATAAGCAAATGCCACTTTTTATAGGCTAACACTTTCTGGTAACTCTATTCTGATATAATTTCAAGTTTCATTAAAGTTGCAAGAGCAGTACAGAGAGCTCCTGAGTACCTGTTAGGGGTTGAATTGCATTCCTCCCCAACCCCCGCCCCCCCCCAGCCAAAAAAAAGGAAACACTGAAGTCCTGATCCCTAGTAGCTGTGAATGTTTCCTTATTTGGAAACGGGACGGTGCAGACATAATTAGGAAAGTTAAGATGAGGAGCCCTGGGGATACACACGCGGCGGGAAGGTGACCACGTGAAGACAGAGGTAGCCAGGCAGCCACCAACAGAGGAATACCAGGTGGCCCCAGGAACTGGATGAGATAAGGAAGGAGACTCTCCTAGAGGCTGCAGAGCCCTGTGGCCCTGCTGACACCTTGTTCAGACTCCTGGCCTCCAGAACTATGAGACAATAAATTTCTGTTGCTTTAAGCCCTTTAGTTTGTGGTACTTTATTATAGCAACCCTAAGAAACTTAATACTCTGCCCTTTACCCAAATTTGCCAATTTATACTTTGCCCCTATTTTTTGCACTCTCTCTTTATTTTTCCTGAATCTCTTCTTTTTAAAGTTTGATTTTATT